TGAACGCGGTACGTGGCAGACACAGCGATCGCCCGGACTGCTGCGACCTCCCAATTGTCCAGGCTGGAGTTCGCCCAAGACGTCGAAGCCACCACCAAACCGATGAAGTCGCATAGTAAGTATTCGGCGGTAGGCCGGGAGGGGCCCGAGGAATTTGGCAGGGAGCGCGCGGTAACATCTGCAGCCCGCATATATGTTCAATCGTATCGGGCCCACCGCATCCAAAAACACATGTCGAAGTAGCTTGGAAACGGCTTACCTTAACCCATCCGCCGAGAGCTGTGCGAAGGGTCGTTGCAAACACCTTCGGCCCGATGCGTGCTGATAGCACCTCAAGGTGATGCAAGAATCGTCCGACTCTGTGGCCGGGCAGCACGCGACAAGCCCAACGATACAGGCGGCGACCCACATGCACCAAGGCAGTCTGTTAATAGCGGGGGGAACAATGTTCGCGAACCGTGCCTGCCAGCCATCACGGTCATGCTCTAGGTGTTGAGGATCAGTAAATACGCGGTCCCCTGGGACGCAAGAAAGTAGCGTGTCCACCGCGGCGTCCAGCGAGAACACGAAACAACCTTTGAGCCACTCGGCCTATCGCACGCGCCGCTCGAGGTCGTCACATCCTGCAATCAATCACCAGGAGGTTGGCAGCCCGGGTGCGCACCCGCAGTCCTTCATGACGAGCATCTTCATGGAGGCCGACGCGCGCCCGCGCAGCGACCGCAGCGGACAGCAGGTCAGGGAGTTCCCTGGGATAGCCCACGTGCCGCAGCGATTTCAGGAGCTCTGGTGTGCACCAACCAGGGGTCCGAGGAAGAGGCGCCGTATGGCTTTCATCTCGAGGGTTCCGCAGTTGGATGGAAGGGGGTCGAGTTGGGCAGGGAACATCATGACAGACATGATTAAAACTCTGAGTTCTTCGAAAGTGTGCAGCATGCCCGCGCGCGCGGCCCCCCAAACCGAAGAGCGCTCAAGAAATTTAGCCGCGGCGGAGTCCCAGCTAAGCTCGCCCAGGCCAGGGCCCACGACGAAGCCAAGATATTGGTGCGGGAAGCAATCTTGAACGAATCACAGAGCGGCGACACTTCGTTCAAGCACGACCGGACCTCGTCCACCGATATTGGGTAGGGCGGGGCCAGCACCGATTCCTTCGCATTCTAAGCCAAGACCGAGACCCTCTCGAAATTCGGAAACACGGGTTCCAGGAGGAGGACGTCGCGCCCCACATTCCGGGAGACGAGCGCCAGGTTGTCGGCGCAGCCCCTCAGCCTGCAGTCAGGCAGAAGCCCGCTCACTCTCCTCATCAAGACTTCGACGGCGACCACGAAAAGCAGAGGTGATAAAGCACACCCCTGACGCACCCCGCGGGTAATGGCGAACCTGCCCCTCCGCGCGCCTCCGACAACCGCGCGCCAGTAGTTCGGACTTACAAAACATCGACAAAGTGCAAAATCCAGGGCGGCCAGTTCAGCTCCTCGAAAACGGCGCGCATGAACGGATGCTCGATGGAAGGGAACGCCACCGCGAAGTCGAAGTAAAAGACCCCACCAAATGTACCGTGACTTGTTGCTTCAATCATGGCTACATCAACTTCGACAAGGTTAGCAAGCATGGACCGGCCATTCAGGAAACCGCGCTGGGAGAACAGGATGCGCCTGCTGACGACTGGTTCGATCGTGATGCGGATGGCGTTGCATATGAGGCGATTTTCCTCGTTGGCCACGTTGAGCGGGCAGCTGTTCTCTGGAGTGTAATACCCCTCCCCCGAAGCGAGAGCGCCAGATGGCGACTTGGGGAAAACAGGTCCCTCCCTCCCTGTAGGCCTCGGGGGCAGCCGCCGGGCACGCCGGCGCAGGCACGGGGGAGCATGAATGACAGGACAGGAATGAACCGATCCCTGATCGATCGATTACGATTCGACCCCCAACAAATGCTGAAGGCGCCCCATGCCTTGACCCGAAGGCTCGCGTGCTCAACAGTCCCAACACTCTCATCCATATGCTACCCCTCCCATTTTATCTCCCCTCTCAATTCGTGACCCAAGGCCTGACTCGGACCCTGTTTTCCAACACGTGCAACAAGTTGCCGCGCAATTAGAAAGAAAAATAACTGCCATTGAACTCCTTCCGGTCGTCATCAGAAAGCTGGCGCCTGGCCTCGCTGGACATGTATATGGCCGCTTCGAAAATCAGAGTGAAGGGGCCGAACGGTCATTCACTGTCCCTGGGTGCGTGGCTGATGTGGAATTCCGCGGTGCGGATTCTTGTTGTTGTTGTTGTTTGTTGTTGTTGTTTGTTGTCGTCGTCCCACCCGCAACCCGCCCCGCGACCCACCCCGCGACCCACCCCGCGACCCACCCCGCGACCCACCCGCGACCCACCCCGCGACCCACCCCGCGACCCAACCCGCGACCCACCCCGCGACCCCCCCGCGGCCCACCCCGCGACCCACCCGCGGCCCACCCGCGACCCAGCCGCGACCTACCCCGCGACCCCCCGCGACCCACCCGCGACCCACCCGCGACCCACCCGCGACCCACCCGCGACCCACCCGCGACCTACCCCGCGACCCACCCGCGACCCACCTTCGACACAAACCACGCTGAAGGTACAAACCACAATTTTCGGCGCCTGCGGCGGGTTTTTTTGCATTCCTTCCAAGTGGAGAGCCCGCGACACATCCCGTGACCAACTCGCGACCAACCCGCGACCCAAACCACGTTCAGGGTACAAACCACATTTTTCGGCGCCTGCGGCGGGCATATTTTGCATTCGTTTCAGGTGGAGAGCCCGCGGCCCACCCGCGACCACGTTCAGGGCACAAACCACATTTTCGGCGCCTGCGGCGGGCATCCTTTCCATTCGTTCCCTGTGGAGAACCCGCGGCCCACCCGCGACCCAAACGTCGTTCCGTGTACGAACCAATTTGTTTGGCGCTTGCGGCGGGCTGCTTTTGCATTCCTTCCAGGTGGAGGTGGAGAGCCCGCGACCCACCCGCGACCTAAACCACGTTCACTGAACAAACCAATGCCGCACAAGCGCGGCGGCGGATTCTTGCATGCCGTCTGAGCCCGCAAGGACCTCTTCACGCCCCGCACATCCACGCCAGCCCGTCCAGCAATTTTGCCTTGGCGAGTTGCCTTGATCAGAGAAGGCGGGGAGCATAAAGTGGAAAAAAAGATTGCGTTGCAGTTATCTTGGGAAAGGAGGGGGAGGCAGGATGAGTAAACAGGGGACGAGGAGAACGTGGAAGAAGAGAGGATGTAAGGAGAACGTGGAAAAAGAAAAGGAGGAGGAGCAGGAGGACGAGGGGGAGGAGGGGGAGGAGGGGGAGAAGGAGGACGAGGAGGGGGAGGAGGGGGAGGATGATGATGATGATGGACGACAATGGGAGGACGATGATGGAGGCCGATGAGGGGGAGGACGACAATGGGAGGACCATGATGAAAAGACGAGGGGGGGAGAGGGAGGACGAGGAAGAAGAGGAGGAAGAGGAGGAGGAGGACGAGGTGGAGGAGGAGGATGACGATGACGATGAGGACGAGGAATAGGAGGAGGAGAAGGAGGAGGAAGAGGAGGAGGAGGAGGAGGTGGAGGAGAGCGCCATCGACAAGGAAGGTGGGGGCCACGAGGTCCGCCGGCTCGACGACGCCCGCGTCGCCCGCGCCCGCCCCCTCACTCTTATCCGCAATTGCGGGGTGCTACGTATGTTTGCCTTTACTTCTGGACATCGCCGCCATGCGCCAAACGGGATCCCATCTGGCCCTGGCGCAGAGTTGTTGGACGACTTCAAGGCCTGCTTGACGTGGCGCTTCTGGAGGCGAAGGCGATGGAGGTCTAGGTAAGGGTAAAGATCAGACAATGGTCGGTGGTCCGTGTCTTCAGCAAGCCAACGCTGAAGCAAGGTCTGATTCGCCCCCTTGCCTTGGAATACCTTGGACCAGTGCGCCTTGAGCGAGCCGGCCATTCTGATGGGATCGGCGGTGACCTCCCCGTCACCTTTGAGCACTGCACACAAGCAGCTTGAGCGGCCAGGCAACAGGCGATAAATCAACCGTGCGTTATTTTGCCTGGCAATCTGCGCCTGGAAGTGGTCCTCCCCTGATAGATCTTCTCGCGACCGAGTGAGCTCATGCAAAGAGTGTTCACGAGCAAGCTGGACAGCGTAGGCACGAAGCCGATCTAATGATCTGGAAGCGTCCGCCCCGAAAACGTACGGATTCGTCACGTAGTTGCGGAGTTCTGGAAAACGCGTGAGGCACACTTCCAGATCATTAGATCGGCTTCCAGCATAGCAATCAACATCATCGGTAGCATAATCATCATCATCATCATCAGCAGCAGCAGCAGCAGCACCCTTGTCATCATCATAGTCATCAGGATCGTAATCAGAATCGCCATGAGCATCATCATCGCTATAGCCAGCAGCATCAACACCGTCGTCATCATCAGCAGCAGCAACAGCGGCATCATCATCATCATCTTCGTGATCAGCATCAGTATCGTCGTCATCATCATCATCATCATCATCATCATCATCATAATCAGCATCACCATGACCATCATCATCAATTACAATCGTCATCAGCATCAGCCGCAACATCATCATCATCGTCGTCGTTAGCGTCGTCATCAGCGTGGTCATCGCCATCCTAATCATTAACATCATCATAAGCATCATCGTCAGCATCATCCTCATCATCATCCTCGTCATCATCAGCATCATCATCGTCATCACCATCACCATCAGTATCATCATCATCATAATCATCATCTTCATCATCATCATCAGCATCAGCATCGTCATCATCCTCGTCATCAGCATCATCATCATCTTCATCCCATTCTCTCCTGATCTTCATAGCCCTCCCCACCCCTCGCCCCTCCTCCCCTGTCCTCCACCTCCCCGTGGTCCTCATTATCCTCCTCACCATACTCCGCCCCACTCCTCCAGAGGCAGGACAAACTGAAGCAGGGTTGCGCGGGCGAGCGCAAGCGCACGTAGACAGCCGTGACGCTGCCGACGAAGCAGGCGAGGGCTCCACACACCAGGAGCACCCTGGCGGCGCGGCCGTGCATCGAGGAGAAAGCCAATGAGCGTCGCGGCGAGGCGAAAGACACCTAGCTTCGCGCATCGCGCCCCGTGATGCGCGACGCGAGGCTATCTTCGCGCCCTCGCGCCCTCGCGTCATCCCATTGACAAAAGGCAACCGCTCTGGCCCAGACACCGACGCGCGAAGGGCGATTACCTGCGCGCTCCCGCAGGTGAACAAGCCAAACAACATCGCGGCGGGGTGAAGGGACAGGAAAGAGGAGCCTGGGAAGGAGTCAAACGGACTTTACCCGGGTCCCCGAGATGTTCTGGAGGGCGGGACGGAGCAGGAGGGAGGAGGCAACACGGAGGACGGAAGACTTAGGAGGCAACACGGAGGACGGAGGACGGGGGAGGGAGGAGGGAGGAGGGAGAGTTCGGGAGGAGTCGGTCAGCAGAAGCGCAGTCGAACCGAGACGATATCGCGTTGACCGAGAAAACATGCACCTAGAGAGCCGTGTAGACGCAACCTCAGCAAGCAGATGAAGCAGGAGCGTACGCGAGAGGAGGCAATCGCAGGCACGAACTCAAAAACACCTGCGAGATCGCCCCAAAACGACCGCGACATTGATAGCCAGGTGAGCTAATTGGGGGCATTGAAGCCTAAGATGTCAATGCACGACGCCCGTACTTCTGGCGGGGATCCGCATGTTCTTCCGCGGGGCTCGGAACGTCGTGCTCGCCACCACTGCACCGCGCGGCGGTCTGGACGCCCAGTCTTCTGCGCTCGCAGCCGCGCCGTCGCAGAAGCATGGGAACCTGGCCCAGGCATCGCCACGGGTGCCGCTGCAGTGAACGGAATCGGCAGACAGGCAGACAGGCAGCTGCCGTTCCTCCTCCCTGACCGCGGTGGGTATACCATACGTCAGCCTGTCCTGGACACAAGTGCAACCGGTCGAAACAGCACGAGGAGGACTCGAGAGATCCCTGGGTTCGTCAGCATGCTGGTCAGCATGAAAGTCATGATACACCTCTCTGCGAAGATTGCCAGGAGCGAGAACCATACTGCCCGAGTACTGCAGTATCGACTGGGCCACGAACAAGGCAAGCTGAGGAGCGCTCTCCAAGGGAAGGCTCCCGAAGATAGGCACCACGTTGCGTTATAGCGCAACGTGGTGGAGAAACTAAACAAATAATGCTCTTCGCAGGTTCAAGACGATCTAGCTAAGTGGGCAACCACAGCCCTTAACCCCATATCAAAACGTACAACGAGACTCTTACTGCTATGGAAAACACACACACACACACAATCCCTCCCTCCACTCGGCCCGATCCTCATCCTCCTCCTCCTCCTCCGCCTCCTCCTCCTCCTCATCATCATCATCATCATCATCAGTATCATCAGTGTCCACCTCCTCATCATCATCCTCGTCCTCATCATCATCATCATCATCATCATCATCATCATAGTCATCATCATCATCATCATCATCATCGTCGTCATCATCATCACCCTCATCATCATCATCATAAACATAATCAGCATCAGCATCAGCATCAGCATCAGCATCAGCATCAGCATCATCATCCTCATCCTCATCCATCCTCATCATCATCCTCATCATCATCATCATCATCCTCATCCTCATCCTCATCCTCATCATCCTCATCCTCATCCTCATCCTCATCCTCATCATCATCATCACCATCATCATCATCAGCAGCAGCATCATCATTATCATTATCATTATCATCCTCCACCTGAAGAAGATTCGTGGTGACGACTTCGGCGTTGGTTCATGACACCATGTGCACCGTTCCATCTGGAGCGATCGTGGCTTCCCGATGGCGCAGATCCTTCGATATCGGCCGATTCCGAGCCGCTGGTGGCATTCACCCTTGAACGCCCGCGCTGGAGTCGCCGCCACGTCGGCACAACACGCGCCTGCCACACTCCCCACAGCTCCGGGGAAACGATAGGGGGGGGTATGCATAAGAGCAGACGCATCGACCCCCAATCGCCCATTGATCGCCAATCGGGATCTGATAGCTTGTTTCCCTCACCATGCCAGTCCTCGCCTATCGTTGCCCCTCAACAGCCTCCTGGCTGAGAATAGGTGGCTTTGTGGCCCCCAGGGACACAGGGACCCCGAAAATCACCCACGCCCCCAGCCAGGGCCCCTTGGATGAGGTCGGGAGTGGGAATCCTGACGGGGGTAGGGGCGGGTTGTGCTGTCCTCAAGCTCCTCCTCCCCAGCTCCTCCGCGCCGGGCTCGAGGTCCTGGTGTCGGCGAGCACCAGCTCCTGATCTGGCTCCTGGGCGGCCGACGAAGGGGGAGGATGGCGAGGCCAGGCGGGCGGACGAGGGAGGGGGGGAAGGAGAGAAGGAAGAGGGAGAGTAAGAAGAGAAGGAGGAGGCAGGAGAGTACGTAGGAGGGACGAGGAGGCAGGAGGAGGGCGAGAGAGGAGGGAGAGGAGGGAAGAGGAAAGATGGAGGAAGGGAGGAATGAGGAGTGCGAGGGGGAGAGAAGAGAAGGTAGCTCCTGTATCCTCCTCCTCCTCCTCCTCCTCCTCCTCCTCCTCCTCCTCCTCCTCCTCCTCCTCCTCCTCCTCCTCCTCCTCCTCCGCCTCCGCCTCCGCCTCCGCCTCCGCCTCCGCCTCCGCCTCCGCCTCCGCCTCCGCCTCCGCTCCGCCTCCGCCTCCGCCTCCGCCTCCGCCTCCGCCTCCGCCTCCGCCTCCGCCTCCGCCTCCGCCTCCGCCTCC